GCCTATAACGACCCAGAAATCTCAATTGTACCTGGAGATGTTCAGATTGAGTTACCCACAGCCGAGGAATTACAGCAAACCGTTCCTACTCATGGCATGACGCCCCATGCAGACACCACCTTTCGCGAAAGCCTTCCTTTCCCCACACAGCATGATCGAAATGACTCTGCAGCAACCACACAGAGCATTCCATTATCTGCCAAGAGCGAACAAAGCTTGATGGCGCTCTCGTGTTCATTGCCCCCTAAATCCCCCAGGCGCTTGTCCATGTCTACTTCGAAAGGCAAGGCGCCCCGTCCGGTGATACTATGTCTCCCAAAATCCAAGTCCCCGTCCAGGATTCATGAACCATCTGGGTCACCCGTATCTCCCATGGTCTCGCGGCACCCATACCACAGCCATAGCCATAAGAGAAGCGGAAGTTTCTCGGACTCGGTACGAGATGATCGACTACCGATGTTTGCGATCGAGCCCGAAACGGGACCCGCACCACAGGAGATGCTCGATCCCGTCAGTTTAATACGTGGGGAGATGTATCCTCCTGCAGAGTCGTACATGACAATGATGGCGCCGGAATCGCCGCCCCTTCCTCCGCCATTAAAGAACCCAAATCCGGACCGTCGGAGTACACCGGACGTGCCTAAGTCATCCCCTAACTCGGGTATGAGAACAATCATTGGCTCAATCAAACGAGCATTGCACACCAGGAATGGCGGACAGAGCGTCTCTGCTCGCATTGCGAATGCCCATGAGGCTATTTCATTGCCTTCCCGCGGGAGGACATCCGCAATGCCAACTGGATTGGCTTTCGGATCTGAGTTCTACCGCGAGAGGAAGATGGCTGCTATTCCCAAATATCCAGGTCGGATTGATTTACTGTGCGATGAGGTCCTCAAACAATATCGCTTGGCTATGAACCAGGAAGGAACGAAAGACCAAACTCAGCCGCCAGCTGCGTCTGACTTTCATCAAGCGACTCTTCAGGAGCCTGCATCTAACAATTCTAACGTGTTACCGACGCAAACCCCCAATTCCGACCCCAAACTCAGGAGCGGTATCACCATGGGCAGCGAATCAATCATCATTGTCGATGATACCGGGTTCGAAATGCCATTTATGTCAGGGGCAGCACAAGAACCAGTGCCAATCGCTGATGATAATCCTCATGAAGTGCCGGAACTCGAAGTGCCCGATGACGCCTCAACGCAATCAGTACCCGTGGAAGGAGAATATCTTCGGCCGGTCCGCTATAATGCCGACGAACCAGAATCAGCTGCCCAGTCAAACGTATTCTACCCCCTTCGCCCTCTCACGCCGCAGAAATTGCCCTCGGTCGAACGCGAATCGATGCCTCTAAAGAAGAAAAAGAAGAATTCTCTATCTCTCCGACTCAGAAAGTACGCGTCCTTCCAAAGCGGGATCTCGAGACAGCGGTTTTCGATGAGCAGCGAGACGGCTCAATCCACTGTCGACTCCAATGCGATGCAAGATCATAACAACAAACAATCAGGGCCGGTTCTTCGTAGGCGCCGAGGTGGAAACCTCCGTCAAATGCAGACTGGAGACGAGACCGAGCCTCCCTCCTGTCGTGACTCGTTCGCGTCTTGGGATGGCTCAGTCGTGAACGAAATGGCCCCCTCTGATGGCGGTGCCTCCAGACCTCCTTCAGCGTTGATCCCTCCAAATCCCCGGTACTCACTTATTGAGCCGCGCACTTCCCGGCAAGTTAGGCGTTCCTTTGAGTCGGTCATTGCGAAGTTTGCACAGATTCCCGACGACGACGACGGTGGTATTGAGTCAACGCTGTTGAAGCTGGAGGGGAAGTGGGATGGACCACCCAATGCCCATCGAGACTCTTCGTCTACACAGGCAGAGGGGCCTCACTCTCACCGAGAGCAGCCTTTGGTTCCGAGTGGTGCCGAAACTACCAGGCCTGGGTGGGATGTTCTCTCTCGCAGGCGACAGACGGACAAGTCTGGGTATTCCACGGTTGGGGGTCGATTGGCGCCACCCAGACCTTATTCTGATTCTGTTGCTGAGTCCGAGGAATCTTATAACTCTATTCCACTACTTGAAAGAGGATTGACCGACGAGTCCATGAAATGGCAGCCTACAAGCCAGCCACTCCAATATGACCCGCACGGTGCTCCACTCACCCTCGTCTCAAGCTATGAAACATCTGAACTTGCCTCATCACACCCCTCGATTCAAATTGTGCACGAAACCGATAGCATGCGTCGCATTCCTCGGGGCGCAACCATCCCGGTCTCGTCTACTCATGATGCTGGTCAGGTTACCCCGAAGCGCTTCTCCACTCTGTCTTCCGAGATGTCGATCGACCTGATTGATCCGCATGAAGCTATCGGTGCAAGGATTCCGACAGAAACCCGTAGCCTTAGTTCATCAACTGTTGAGATCCCGACTCATCCTCTAGCGCAACCTCCCTCCCCGCCGATGACCATCCAACATCCGGGATCCTTCACTTCCTATCCTTCGCCATTGAATACAGTCTTGTTCCAGGCACAGCCCCTTACGCCTGACACATCCCCGCGACGTAAAGAAATGGGCACTTCTGCTTCGCGTCCTCTAAACATACAGCAAGTTTCGAGTGACGTGTTGTTCAATTCGGAAAACAATCGGCCCCACCAGAGCCCCATCATCAACCTTTTACCCGACCATGTCCCCTTTATCCTATCATGTGAATCCCAGGTCCTCGCACACCAACTGACATTGATCGAAATGGCCGCCCTGAGCGAAGTCGACTGGCGAGATCTCGTCGATATGAAATGGAGCAGTGCCTGCCCATTAGTCACAAACTGGGTCCAGTTCTTGACATACGAGGAACGCAAAGGTATCGATTTGGTCGTCGGCCGCTTCAATCTTATGGTCAAATGGATCCTGTCGGAGATTGTCTTGACCCGTGACATCAACGAACGGGCCCGCACAATTATCAAATACATCCATACAGCTGCGCATGCACGCCGCATCTGCAATTATGCCACAATGCTCCAGATCGCCATTGCTTTGTCTTCGTCTGATTGCTCCCGGCTGCAGAGTACGTGGCAGTTGATTTCGATTGAAGATAAGCGGCTGTTCAAGGATATGGAGTGCCTAATTCAGCCGGTGCGCAATTTCAATGATTTACGTGTCGAGATGGAAACGGCCAACTTGCAAGAAGGCTGTATCCCCTTCCTTGGTGAGTTTTGAAAGATTTGCTTGAATATTGCACTAGACCTTGTTTGCTAATTCTTTTTCACCCTTCTTTCCAGGCCTTTATGTCCATGACCTCACTTATAATGCACAGAAACCCGCACAAGTTAACAGCACTAATGGCGGTCTACTTGTCAACTTCGAGCGCTATCGCACTGCAGCACGAATCGTTAAGAGTCTCCTGCGTCTTATTGATGCCAGTACAAAATATAAATTTGAGCCCGTGCAGGGCATCATCGAACGGTGCTTGTGGATTGCTTGTCTTCCCGAAGACGAAATACAATCCCGGAGCAAAGCACTTGAATAATCTCTCGTTTCCCACCCCCGTTTTCCTTAGTCCTTCTGGTTGCATCTCTATATCCATGATTGGATAGTTTATACCCCCTTTCCAGAGGCTGCTTTGTCCCTCTATCGTTTTGTACCGATACTTACATCTGGTTAATACCTTTCGTTTTGGAATTAGTTTTTTTTTTTTTGTCTTGTTGGTGCCGGACCGGGCTGTCCATGTGAACGGAGACGTCTATTTGGATCTACCACTCTATAATAACAGCAAGCCTTGTACATACCTTCGCTATCCCAGTCATACTCGCATTTGAACTTGTCGGCATTCAAACATTTTGGGAATACCCGGGCGCCGCTGCAATTGTCAATCCGTTAGTCGCTTACGCGGTTCAAGGTTCGCTCTCTACCTAGCGTCCCCATTGACTTTATATATACCTACCAGCGCATAATGACAGCAATTATCATGCACATCTTGGTCATTTTCATCCGTCAGAGTCGCTTACGCCGGTAACGGTTCACTCTCTAGCGTCGTCATTATCTTCTTTTATATCTCTTTTGTTGTTTTGTTTTGTTATCTCGGGATCACACGCCTATACTTCGTGGGGATTTGGGCGTTCCTTTTTGTTTTAAGATATCGTATGCCGACTTTATGGATAGCAATATATTTGGAGCCCTGCAGATAAATCTTGTATTCATTATTCGTCATCAGACCTTGGAAACCTGTGCCTTCTTTTCGTACCATTAAACTTGCATGATACTTAGTTACATTATGTACCTATAAGAATAGTCGGCCGCTGATGCGGCCTGGTGACGTCATTCTTGGTAGTTTTGAAAGATCTTTCAGATGTCTTTTTTTTTAGATGTTTTCCCCCTTGTTGGTGATGAAGCTAAAATATAGGTGGTTGAAATGACGACTCCAAGTTCATATATAAATTTTGATCTATGTAGGTACCTACATAGTTACCCAGTCCGCCAGATTCTTCCCTAATTACCATGTCCTTCCCCTTAGCTGATGCTATCAATTAAGATATATCAATATAAAGTCAATAACAGACTCTAGTATCATATGATGTTCTATGGATGGGAAATAGGATTTGAAAGGAAATATTTTTACAGTGAATAAGGGGTTACTACCCACAACCTACATATTAGTAGAAGAAATCAGGATTCTAACCAAAACAAAGGATAAGAGCAACCTACCAAGTTATTAGCCTTTGTTGGCTTCATACCTTAGTACTATATACCCCAACGTTTGATGTCACGAAGGAATTACAAAGCTGCGTCATATCTCCCGAGGTCTCGGGGCCGCATCGCGGGAGCTGGTCCAGGAACGGAACACCAAACCCACCACCCACTCATCACCACCACCTCCCTTCAACACCCAATTTCCACGCGTGGAGGGTACCCTCCTCAGAGAACATATCCCCAGAGAGGGTTCTTCGATTTCCTCCCAAATTCAAACCCTTTGATGTCCCGCCACAACTCTACCGGACAGCCAGCCCGCCACGATGGACATGACCGAACCGCGGCGCGGGGCTTCAGAGGACCCCATCGACTCCAATGACCACAGCGACCACAGCCCCGCGTCCTTCCACGAAGCTAAACAGGAACTCCCAGATGACTTACCCAAATCACTGGACGATCGTCGCTCCGTTCCGGTCTTCCAGCCGGAGACTGAGATGTACGATGCTTGGCAAGGTGAGTGCTCTTGTGTCCGCGGACCTATTTCCTCGTTTCCCCCACGAGGAAGATCAAACTATTTCCCCTTGAGCACTTACATGCTGGAAAATTTACCGGGCAGTGTTGGGGTTTCAAGCATTAAGGTCTAATCTTTGAACAGGTCAATCACAATACCTGACCGCGCCAGTCGCCGCAAAACCCTTATCCTTCAGCCTAGCCCTCGACGATCATTCACACGACAATGAGCACGAACTGCGGGCCCACTATGGGCGCGATATTGAAGATAGTGACACACGCCTGATGGAGATGCTTGCTGCCCAAGCTGCCCATCGGGAGGTGGACTCGCTTACCGCAGACGAAGAGACAATCGCCGCCGACGAGAAATTGACCGATGACGAGAAGCGTGACATACTACAGAAGAGCTTGAACATGGCAGCCAGTAATGGTGATGTGGAGCGCGTGCGGAAACTAGTACAGGGCCAAGCGAGGACCTACGTCGATGTCAATAAGCCCGACGAGGAGGGGACTGTGCCGTTGATCTACGCTAGTTGTTTTGTCGGTTTCTCTATACGCGAAGTACTGACGCGAGGCTGACGGTTTATAACAGGGTCATCAAGAAGTCGTTTCTGCGCTCATTGTCGCCGGTGCCCTCGTCGACAGGCAGGATCGTAACCAGTGGAGCGCTTTGATGTGGGCCATGACCAACAGACACAAAACTATAGCGAAGATTCTTCTTGATAACGGTGCATCACCGGATATCAAGTCCTCATCCGGTGGTAGGGCTTTTGATTTCGCCCAGCCCGGTAGTGAGATTTCTGAATATTTGCATGAAAATGGTTACAGCTTTGGCTCTGGCAATATCGATGACGACTTCTATGACGCTGGATTGGCGCATGGTCGCTTTGAAGAAGAGCTAGCGGAGAGCGAGATGAAGCGCCGAATGATGATGGAAGAGAGCGCAATCAACCTGGAGGTTGATTTGTCTAGTCTAGGGCTTGACGAGAAATTCGAGGTCAGTTTATGTCGTGAAAATAGGGTTTCAACCTTGACTGATTTGAGTTCTTTAATCCCATAGCCGTCCGATGAAGATGAGCTCGAGGAAGATCAGCAGGAATTTGTCTGGGACAAGTGTCTGAATGATCAGATGTTTGTCTTCCAGGATCATGAGCTAGAGCGCATTTTGGATATCATCATCACCAACATGACTCCCCAGCGCTCTCCTTCCCAAAAGCCAGTGCCTGCAAATCTTCTATTCCTCAGCGCCCGTTACGCGCACTATCATGCCAGCCCCGAGCTGCTCACAACCCTGCTATCATCTGCAATGGAGAAGATTAATGACGTTGTAGAACGTTACCAGTGGGATATGACAATGCAAGCCTTTTGGCTGTCAAATGCCACGCTCCTGCTTCATTACCTGAAGAAGGATGGGGGCTTAGTGGAATCGACCGTCGAGTTCCAGCTCCATCTAGCGGAACTGATCAACGAGATATTCGTTCTCGTTATTCGTGATGCTGAGCGCCGAATGAACAAAGTCCTGGATGCGGCAATGCTGGACCATGAAACCATCCCTGGACTGGAAGATATTGCCTTCCAAAACGAGTGGAAGTTGTTCCGCAAAAATAAAAGCAAAAACCCCGAGCCTGACGAAAAGCGATTCCGGCCTCCATCGCCGCGGCGACGAGCACAAATCTCGCCTCGGAACATCACCTCTTTACTATCATCGACCCTCTTTGTACTTGATCTCTACGATGTTCACTCGGTGATAACGACCCAGATCCTCTCCCAACTTCTCTACTGGCTCAGTGCCGAGATATTTAACCGAATCATGAGCACAAAACGTTACTTGGCGCGCACAAAAGCGATGCAGATCCGCATGAACGTTTCATCATTAGAGGATTGGGCACGCACGAACAACCGTGTGCCAGAACATTACGAAAACGGATCTACAAACACCACCGGAGATTCTACAATTGATGCCGCTCGTCGACATTTAGCCCCAGTCATTCAACTCCTCCAATGGCTGCAATGCTTCTCGTCGCTTGGTGATGACCACGAATCTCTCGTAACAACCCTGCTCCAACTCCAACAACTCACCCCCGCCCAGCTCCTACATGCAGTCAAGTCATACCGCCCAGAAGTAGGCGAGAAAGGCCTGACCAAGCAAGCAATGAAATTCCTTCTCGACATGCAAAATGACCCGGAAGTTCTATACCGCGAGCAACTGGAAATTCAAGAAGAGAAGGCAAAGGTAGAAGCTGGACTAGGGCCGCAAGCAGCAGCAGATACCCGTCCAAAGACACCATCAAAGGACCAGCCCTCTGCAGCACCCACGTCCCCTGACGCTGGACTATCCCCCGGCTCCGCTGGTGCATCATCCCGACGTACAAGCATGGTCGCCGCCAAAAACGACGAGCGCCCCGGTAGCGGCAATAGTGTCTTCGTCGACCCCACCCTCTTCCTCCCCTTTTCCCTTCCAACCAGTACAGATATGCTGGTCAGCTACGGCGCCGGCTTTGGTGGTACGAACCGCGAACGCGCCCGCAAGTACATTCCCACAGTCCCGCCCGAAGTCCTGAGTCGATTTGATCGCGGCGATGTATAAAACAAAACAGGCATGATGACTGCCTTTTCTTCACCTTCCCTCCAGCATTCCAGCATGGATTTTTGATGGTGCGACCTGCCACCTTTGCAGGGATATTCTTCGGGTACCCACGAGTGCGGGCTCGAGGTAGTGAGATAAAGATGGCGAATACAGCGATAGGATACCCTTTGCGCCCCCTTTTTTTTTTGTCTGGAGGATATGCTAGATATGGCTTCCATGTGGGCATCTGCCGATGGGCCGAGTATATATTTTAAAATGAATTTCATCTACTTGACCAATAGCTCAAACGTTGTGTACGGGTTTAGTGTTTAGTGTAGACATTCGGAGACGCTGAATACTGATGAAGGTATGTGAATGGCATTGGGCCAAAGTTTCCAAATGAAATATACCCAGATCTTTCAGCAAGTTGCTGTTTCATTGCTTCATATATAGGAACGATATCCGTCTATTGTTCTTGTTCTATAATGTATTTGATATGTTCGTTCAAGAGGGTTTAGCCTATTCAGCTCGCTCATACCGATTATCTTTCTGGAAGTTTTATAAGAAAAGGCATCACCGAACACATACAAAGATACCTACGTATGTAGTGATTAGGGAGTTTCAGCATTTCTACATAAAGCCCTGCGCTGGGACATCTCAAAGAGGTAACTTTGTGTCGTTTCCTATTTGGGGTCCTTCTCTCTCTCTCTCTCTCTCTCTCTCTCTCTCTCTCTCTCTCTCTCTCTCTCTCTCTCTCTCTCTCTCTCTCTCTCTCTCTCTCTCTCTCTCTTTTCCCCCCTCCCCCTGCCTCTCTGCCAGAGGTCTTTGCATAGCCTTCATATGATCCAACTCGTGGGCCTTCCTGTCGTCCCCCGTATTTATGCAATTCAAAAGCGTTGTTGCCCTGCTGTCAACATGAAGCGCACCTCAAACCCCTCCAAGCGCAGGAACGGTGCTAAGGATCCCCATGAGTCTGCCAAAGCAAAGACCCAGCATCTCCCACAACTAGTACTTTGGCCTTCAATAGAGGAATCCCCGACGGCCCCCGATCACACGATGAACTCATCCCAACATCTGATCCCACCATCCGGGCACAACCACCTACCATCTCCACTGACAATGTCAACTCCCCTCACAGAGGGCATGAAGATCCACTTGCACGCCAAAATTGAAGAAGACCGACGCAAGCAGGAGGAAGAAAGAACACGCCAGGCTAGTTTGGTACTGGAACATCGGCGCATTGAGCAGTCAATACTGTCGGATGCCCTGCGCGCTGGTGTCCCACCGAACCTAGTCCCCCTGATCTTCAACGGCATCTATACCACCGGTGCTAATCTTCAACTGGCGGCCGAACTGCAGAATCAGTGGTCTGCATCAACTTCCCAATCTGCTGCACCTCCTGTGATGTTCCAACAGCAAAATAATTCGACCCCGGCGTCGCCTACGAAGCTCCCAGTTGCACCTCACCCGCCTCAGCAGAGTCCTAAACAGCCACCCCGAGCACATGCTACTGAGTTGCCACCGATAGCCACAAAGCATCTGCCAGAAATGCGCCAACGTGAGTGGTCGGAAGCCACATCCAGTTTACATCGAGACCGAGTGATAAGGTCTGAGCGAGAGCAACTGAGGCACAAGCTGAAATCCCAGAAGGTAGAGTTCGCCGACAAGGACCTGTTGGATACAGCCTTTGAACACACATTTCCCGTTACGAGCTCTATGATCGAGGCCCTATCCCCTCGAAATTTGGCTGGTCCTCCAAATAAGGCTTCTGGGACGCGGGCAAAACGACAGCAATCACCTCAGAAATTTCATACCAGGCCATCACCAGAATCGGGGCATCCGCAGTCCCAATTAAAACCCCAACTGGAACCACAAATGCCTGGTAGTGTCTCAAATGCCCCATCTCACGTTCACCCACAGCAAACGAACTCCTCTAGCCCGAAGAGAAAGAGCCAAAGCTCACACGAGAGAGTCCCTCCACCTAAATATCGTCGACACGAGACAGTGTGCGGTCAACAAAACCCATTCGATGAGCCACAGCTTGCTCAGAGGCAACAGCAGCGCGATTTATCCAGCTCCCACGAATCCCGTACCTGTGATGGTGGTTCTTCCGGGCAACCATCGGAGTCAACCCCGGCTGCAGTAGGAAAATCGAGTGCAACTGCAGCTGAAGACCTTCAGAAACAACAATCTCACTCTGAGAGCACATCCGATGTCGATGCATCAGATCCCGTCCAAGACACGCTTCCAGACATCAAGTTGGAGTGATGCCGAACATTCTGCCACTTGTTTCTTTTTCTTTACTTTCTGAACTCTATTCAATTATTCTTTCGGACATTGAGCGTTGGTCTACTTTCAATGTTCTTTACATGTGCATGCGGTCGTTTTGGAGTCCATTAGGGCTACATAGGTGTTTATGGGCGTTTACGGAGACGTTCGAGCTGATTGCATGCTCTAACCTCACCTCGAAAGACTTTTGTCAATTGCAAGAAGACCAACTGTTGTTATTGTTATGTTGGTACTGGGAATTGATTGGTCTGTATTGTTGTCCTCTGTTCTTGTTGATCGCTGAATCCTACATGCTAGGATTCACTAACAGCCGTTGAAAGTATTATTAGATCTGGCTCAATGGATCGAAAAAAAGGTCCAAACTAAACTAGAATGTTCCCTATCCCCTATACTACAATATAATACAATAGTAAAAATAGATATAAAGTTGTTCAAACTAATCTCTTGGCGTGTCCAGTATGACATCGAAGTACGTCATTGCTAAATGACACGGGCAATTGCCAATCGAAACCGGATTTCACAGGGGACGTCTTCCAAGGGGAGGAATTATATAAAGAACTAAATTCCCACAGTCCATATTCAGCTTCCTTCAATAATCCCATAAACCAAAACACGACCCCTCAACATCCAAAATGACGACCTTTATGCGCCTAAAGACCCCATTCCAGACCCGATCCCCAATTACAGCTCTCTCCACAGCACGCACTCAAACACCTCGCACCTCCGTATACCGAGGCTACGGGACCAAATCCTCAAATGATCCCGAGCAAGCAACAACCACAACCCAACAGCCAGACTCGTCCAATCGCCCAATTCCCTCCAATAAAGCAAAGCCCACCATCAACGAGGGAGAGGAGGAGTCGCCTCTTACAGACCAAAAAGGGAACCCGAAGAAGGATGTTCCCGAGGATGTGAAAAAGCACAATAAGGAGATGGAGGAGCGGTATGATAAGCCGTATAACTCCACTGGTGAGGATGGCACAGTTAAACCTGCTTTCAAGAGCTAAGTTGATCCCTTGTGTGGTATCCTGCTGTCCTGGTGATATGTATGGTGCTGGTTCATTCTTTGGGGCTTCTGGGTTTAGGCGCCTACTTCGGAGCTGTGGATGAACGGCTTTTCTTTGTACACTGAGATTCAATATTTTGATTAGCTTTGTATTTTATGTTCTCTGGGTCTATTCATCATTCTACAAGAATAGTCAGCCACGTTGGCGGGCCTTGTCACGTCTTTCCAGTGGTCGTTTCAGTAGTCCTTATTATATCTTTTGTTTTTAGATATTTCCCCCCTTGCTAGTGTTGTAACTGGAGTAAAGATACCGGCTTGAAATATGCAAAACAACATTTGAATGTATAGTCAGTAATATGTATAGTTAGCCTCTGACATATACATGTACCCAATTGACAAGTGAAATCCTAAAAGTATTCAAGAAACCTGAGCCATTTCTAGTAGAACACTGACGGGTCGTACCACTTCGAGATATATAAACGAAAGGCAGAGCTACCAAGCCAATGGCGCAGGGTCTTCTGGCATCCCTTCTAGCTCGGACATGATCGAAATCGATCGACTAGCGATTGGCTCTTTCTGTTGCCAGGAAGAACCTGGTTTCGATGTAGACTCGTCAGATGGCTTGGTCCCATTTGGTGAGGAAGGGGTCCAATTGCCGAGATTGTCGGTCTAGAAGTCAGGGCACAGTGGCGCGGTCGCTACGATAACGCTGTTGAGACTCGAGCCGGTGACGTGGTCGGGGTCTGCGGTGCTGAAAGCCCAAGTTGGTCGAGTAACATTCGGCCTTAGGTGCTCATTGTGTTCGTTGTTTGAGGCGCTTGTCGGAATCCGCGTGGTGTTTTGCATTGACCTAGATCTTTTCAGGCAATGAACAGTTGACATTGGGCTACATCTACATTCACCAAATTCATAGGAAAATGATTGATTGTTGCTCAATCTATGATGATGTACAAATCAAGGTAGTCGGTAGTCCCCAGGCTTGTCCCAAAGCCAATATCCACCAAAGATAAAATCCTAAGCACATTGTAGCGAGGTAATATGATTGACGTTTCAAAGACAGCCATGCGTGTCTATCAACCAGACGTTTTGTTTTTTTTTCGTTTTGTTTTTTTTTTTTGAGAGAGATTTGCTCCACAAATAGACGCTATGTCGCCCTTTCGTGAGTATTGAATATGATCAACGTGCCTGAAAAGCAAATGTTGTTTTCCAATGTACTGTTCAGCTCACAGGCAACTTGCCTATATCACCCTTGCCGCCCTTGATCCATTCAGGGTCAACCAGGCGCTCGCGCTCCGCATACAATTGCTTGTAAGCACCACGAATGGTTCCATCACTGACGTGTGCAACCTGGGAAATTTCCTTGGCAGACTTGCCGTGGCCCATAAGGAACGAAGCCATGTAGATGCAAGCCGCAACAATAGACAGCGGAGAACGTCCGGCTAAATCGCCCATGGCGGTAACGCGGTCTGAAAGGGAGACAGAAACACTGGTAACCTGGTAAGGAAGGTCGAGAAGGTTGCAGAAACGATTGCAAAGATCGCTTGGCTTGGTCGAAGTAGTCGCGTTGTAATCGCCAGCAGAGTCGTGGGTTTCGCCATTTTCCAAAGCAGCATTGTGGCGCTCCACATTCTGGGTGGTAAAAAACTTCTCCAGAGCCTTGTAGATGCGACCAATTTCCTTTCGGGTGACCTTGGTCACCGCGAAGATTTCGGTGAAGGTACGAGGAACCTTGCACTGACGGCATGCGATGAAGATGCAACCAGCAATAATGACTTCCTGCGACTTGCCCTTGAAGGCCTTGGCGTCATCGACCATCTTGAAGAGATATTTTGCAGTATCGGCAACAGTCTTTTGGATGTTGAAACCGTCGCACAGAGCACCGATTTCCTTGTAAGCTGCCAGGAGGGCCTTGTTGGCCTTTTCACCAGACTGCTTGTTTTGAGCGCGGTACAGGTCGCGGGCACGACCAGAGCCTCCACTTGCAATGGAAGTCTCGAGTTGAGCGCCGTTGAGTAGAGGGTTCGAGGCGTCTCCGACACGGGACGGGTCGTCATTATTTTGGTCGTCGTTGGAGAAGGTACGCCATTCCGAGTGCAAGTCGATCTCGCGGTCTGCGAGCACAAGTCCACAGGAACCGCAAACTGTCTCGTGGGAGTCGGGGAATTCTAGGTTGGGGGGATCTTCTTTGCATTCGGGGCAAACGAGATGAGCGGACAGGTTTTTCTTCCAAGGAGCTGCGGCCTCGGGTTTCGCAAGAGTGGGAGTAGCCATATTTTGAGTTTTCAAGTAACTTGTGTATCGATCGTGGCAGCGTCTTGCGAGAAGTTTTGGCGCTATACGAGGTAGATTGAATTTCCGATTATAATAGCGAAGGAGAAGTGGCGAATACAGCTTGGCGGCTGTAGTGAGGAAAACGAAAGCGGGCCACTTGCGGAGGATCCCTCAGCGAGGGAAAAGGCCGATGAAAGAAAGCGAGTCGCTCAGGGCCACTGTTTTGCGCAGTGATGTTAGCTCAGCCCAAAGGAAATCCATTATCTCTCGTATCGCAACGTTGTCTTGTCCTTGACCTCTAACAATGTCATGCTAAGATGTACTCGAATAAAGAAGCTTTCATTACCTTTCACAGGCCAGAGCCCCCAGGATTCGAAGGAGTCACCCCCAGTCGTAGAAAACCTTTCACCAGTCTGCGCTTTCTGGGATCGAAAGTGGAACAGAAATCTCGCCTCAGCTTGTCCAGCCGTGTTGAACCAGTCAAGGTCTCCGCAAGAAGTCTCTCACGAAAATGGGGACAGGCTGAGGAGGAGAGAAAGAAGAAGCCAAGGACTGGGGGAGGATGTGAGAGGGAAACGATGGGATGATGTGAGGCTTCAATAGGCGGCACCCGAGAAAGGCGCAGTCCAGATCAGGTTTAGTAAGGAAATCACATGATATTACTTGTGTGTTTTGATTGGCCGAGGAAGTATAGCTTTTTATAACAAACAAAGATTCTTTGTTCTCGCTTGCTGGTGTAGATAGACCATACCGAGAAAGGACAATGGGGCTTTGGATCCAACCTCCATGGATAAGTGAGAGCAAATGATAAAGTCAAGAGATTCAGACATCTCTATACGGGCGATCTCGGAAATTCGTGTAGACAAGCCGGTTTAGAGAGGTATCCTGTGCTCTCATAGATAACATACTGTTCATATTTGATGTAACAAACTTGACCAAGTATCATTTTGCATCGATAAATTGAACCACCGTCGACTACTTAATTAGTTATTTGTTTTGATAATTGCATGTAGTTGTTGAAGCCCTGGAAAGATCCGGGAACAACATGGCCCGGCTGAGTCAGCTGCCAAGAACCCTTTCCGAACAGAAGTCGTTTGAACCTCCAACTTCACGGAAAGACGGATCAGACCTATTCTATTGAGAACCACCCCCTCATTCCTCATCTCCATCCTCACTCAAGATGATGTCTCAGTCTCTCCGGGCCTCGGTGAGTGATGCTTGATTTGCAGCTGTCCATCTCGACCCTCGACTAACGCGAAAAGCAGCGCACCCTCTTCTCCCGTGCCTCTCGGGCACAGGTCTCGGTCGCTCGCCGCACCTTCCTGACCTCCGCCGTCCGCCAGGGTACGTAATTTACCTGGGGACTATCTTCAATATGACCCAGATGTCCCTGCTATATCTATCAATCGCATCCTCGCTAACCCGCAACTCGCCGCAGCCGACCCCGTCCAGGACCTGTACCTCCGCGAGCTCAAGGCCTACAAGCCCACCCCCATCAAGGCTGGTGACGCCGAAGAGCACGTCCAAAAGTTCACCGCCCCCAAGGCCCCCAAGTCCCCCGAGGAGGCCAACCTTGCCAGCGAATTGTCCGCCTACGAGAGCCAGGAGGTCGAGGTCGAGGGCCAGGCCGCCGCTGGCGAGGCCGCCCCCGTCGAGGAGAGCTGGTTCGAGGAGGAAGAGGAGGCCCCCGCTGCCCACTAAA